CTGAATAAAATGGATAAAGCTGGACCCTTCTTTGTCTGACAATGATAAACTGATGCTACTGAATACCAAGAAATTTGAGTCTTGACTGTAGCAGCTTCTAGACTAATCTAGTCTAGAACAACAACAACAACAACAACCAAGAAAAACCCTGAAATGCCATCAAGTAACAGGAGATTTGTCAGCTGCCCTGCTGACACTTTTCATATAAAACATGAAGGTTGGCAGATTATAGATGAAAGGTCAGTTGAGCAAAAAAGGAAATGTGTCAGACAGTTGCATAACACAGGTAACAGGATGGAAGGTGGAGGCTGCTCTTGGATGCTCAGAAAGAGATGATTTTCATCACCATTTCTGAGGCTGTTTGTTTAGTGGCTACGTCTTTATGCTGAGTCTTCAAAATTTGATTTAGAGGACACTGAAGAAGTCTGCTTCCTGAGAAAGATTTACTTGGCAGCAGTTTTACTTTCTTTTCAACTGACCCAAAGGGGAAAAAAGTACACTTCCTTTGCCCTATCTCCCAGTCTCGTCCATGCCTTCCTTGAATCAGAGTTCTAAAAAGAAGAGAGAGAGAAGCCAAGTCTTCTTGTTGGAGCAGTGGTGCATAATGAAAGGATTTAAAATGAGTCCATCATTGTGAATGATTAAAGAGAACGGGGCAACCACAGCATGATTTATGTAAGTAGACTTGCTTAGATTGCATGCAGGTAGGACCTGCATTGAAACAGATTACCATTCAGGAAAATGTGATAGCCTATTTAGGCCTTGGGAACACTGGTGAATCAGGAAAAAAAAACACTCACTGCCGTCGAGTCGGATCCTACTCATAGTGACCCCTCCTTGGGTTTCTGAGGCAATGTCACTATGGAAGTAGATTGCCCAGTCTTCTTTCTGAGGAGTGGCTGGTGGGTTTGAACCTCCAGCCTTCTGGTTAGCAGTCAAATGCTGTTCTGGTTACCTAGTACCACTCTGACAAGAATATACCACAAATGGGATGGCTTGAACAAAAAGGAGTTTATTCTCTTACAGTTTGGAGGCATTAAGTCTGAGTTCAAAGTGCCAGGCTCTAGGGGCAGGGTGAAGGTCCCTTAACCTTGGGCTTCAGCTCTGCTTCCTGCTCCTGGCCCACAGAAACCAGAGGCTTTCTTCACTCAGTCCAAGGTTGACAGGTAAAAAGGCACAGTCCCGATGTTACCAAACCACATGGCAGGCCATTAATTCAAGTGCATTGAAAGTCACAAGGTTGGCAGAACATGGCAGGCTGGTGAACAACAACATGGCTACATGTAGGGTTCAAGTGTGCCATAAGCTAGAGACCATTCCCAAAGCTGTTTCTTATATACAGGAAGCAGACCGCATACCCAAAGCAGCTACTCAGCTGCTCCAATAGATTCCACCATGGAGTTAATTACCAGTCTCACCATGGGAGATAACTACATCCAGCTGCCCAGCCACTCAACCAGGCCCAGTCAAGTTGACACACAAACTTAACCTCCACAAATGCCTTAGGCAGTATGCCACCAGAGCTACAATATCAGGCTGATGGTATCACAGAATCATGATGTTAGAGTTGTGGGACATCCTACAGATTTTTAGCATGTGTGGTGCTGAGATTTCACAGCCCTATTAATAGCACGTTTCATCTGCAGTGTGGTGCAGGAAATTGTGCAAAATACCAACACCATACAATCCAAGTAGCTTGCAGCATACATCACACTCCTCATTGCCTTATACTAGTACAGATTATAAACTCCCATAAATATAAATTTGAGAGAGTGCATCACATTGTCATCATTAGGTGCCATCAAGTCGTCTCCAACTCATAGAGACCCTGTGTACAACTGAACGAAACACTACCTGGTCCTGTGCCAGCCTCACAATCCTTGCCATACCTGAACCCATCATTGCAGCCATAGTGTCAATCCATCTTGGTGAGGGCCTTCCCCTTTTTTATCAACCCTCCACTTTCCAATACATGATACCCTTCTCCAGGGAATGGTCCCCTCTGACAACATGACCGAAGTAGGAGATGAAATCTGACCATTCTTGCTTCCAAGGAGCATTCCAGCTGCATTTCTTCCAGGACAGATTTGTTAGTTCTTCTGGCAGTCCATGGTACTTTCAATATTCTTCACCAGCACCACAACTCAAAAGCTTCAACTCTTCTTCTCTCTTCCTTATTCATTGTCCACCTTTCATGTGCATATGTGGTAATTGAAAATATCATGGGTTGCGTCAGGTGTACCTTAGTCTTCAAAGAGACATCCTGTTCTTCAGCACTTTAAAGAGGTCTTTTGCAGCACATTTACCCAGTGCAATATGTCATCTGATGTCTTGACTGCTGCTTCCATTGGTGTTGGTTGTGGAACCAAACCAATAAAAGCCAAACTCATTGCCCTTGAGTTGATTCAACTTATAGCAACTCCTCCTTAGGTTTCCAAGGCAGTGCCTCTACAGAATAGATTGCCCAACCTTCCTTCTGAGGAGTGGGCAGTGGGTTTGAACAGTCAGTCTTCTGGTTAGCAGTCAGATGCCTTAGGCACTACCAGAAATATGAAATCTTTGACAACTTCAATCCTTTCTCCATTTATCATGATGCTGCTTATTGGTCCATTTGTGAAGATTTTAGTTTTCTTTATGTTGAGATATAATCCATAGTGCAGGCTGTAGTCTTTAATCATCATCAGTAAGTGCTTTAAGTCATCCTCACTTCCAGCAAGCGAAGTTGTGTTGTCTGCATATCGCAGGTTTTTTAATGGATCTTCCTCCAATCCTGATGTCATGCCCTTCTTCATATAGTCCAGCTTCTTGGACTATTTGCTCAGCAGACAGATTGAGTATGTATGGTTTTCGCCTTGCTAATTGTTGCTTTTGTGAGTGGTTCCAACTCACAGCAATCCTATGTACAACAAAACAAAATACTTGCTGGTCCTATGCCATCCTCAAAATCATTGCTATGTTTGAGCTCATTGTTGCAGACACTGTGTCAATCCATCTCATTGAGGATCTTACTCTTTTTCAATGACCCTTTGCTTTATACTAAGCGTGATATCTTTCTCCAAGGACCAGTCTGTCCTGGTAATATGTATCCACAAAGTATGTGAGATGAAGTCTCACCATCCTCACTTCTAAGGAGCATTCTGTCTGTACTTCTTACAAGACAGATTTGTTTGTTCTTCTGGCAGTCCATGGTATATTCAATATTCTTTGCCAACTCAATAATTTAAAGGCATCGTTTCTTCTTCTCCTTTCCTTATTTATTGTCCAGCTTTTGCATGCCTATGAGGTCATTGAAAATTCCATGGTTTGGGTCAGGTGCATCTTACTTCTCTAAGTGACATCTTTTGTTTTTTAACACTTTCAAAGAGATCTTTGCAGAAGATTTGCTAACCTTGCTAATAAGTGGTGCCAAAGGCTTGTCACACAGCGTTGTGAGCTAGTAGTCAAGGAAACCCATTTTGTCCTATTGAAGCTTGACCACAGCATTTTTGGTTTAATCTCTCTGTGGTGGTATTTCCTATCAGAGTGCTTTCATCTCTCTTTTAAGACTTCCCATCCATGCACATTCTGTATATATGATTTTGCTACCAGTTTTATAAATCTGGAAGTTAAAAGGTAAAGAAATATCAGTAACATTGCAAGACATAATCTGACAACCTTAAAAAAACACTTCAGTATTAGCAGATAAATTTGCAGTGTGGTGCTGAGATTGAGGAAATTTTAGTATTTGGTCATTCACAGTGTAATCTTTGCAGTTTGCATTGGTGAAATCCAAGTGGACCAATGACAAAACTTGAACCTGAACTTGAACACACACACACACACACACACACACACACACGTATATAACTATATTTTTCCCATTAAGCTTCATTAGTTAAATCATTGAATCTGCTCTGCTGGTAAGGACCAATTCTTACAAGTGTATCCAATTTCCTGCTAGTGATACTTTAATTCTTCCTGGAACAGCAGGAAACATTAATTTTTCATTAGATCCTGGAGTCACAGGAAGCAGGAATTACAGGCACTGTTGTCCACGCCCCTTTTTCCCCAAAAAAATAAAACGAAATGAGCAGCAGCCTAGCAGTGCAGTTTGAGGGATGAGTAGTGACAGAGTAGAGAAAATAGTATTAATTTCAGTATGGGAACAACTGCCTGGCAGTATCTCCCTTTGGATTTTGGTTCTTATAACTACACGATGAGTTATTAATATGTATGATCTGCACTTTATTCAGAGATTATAAATCTATGCAGAAGTCTAGTGTTTGGGTTTTCCTTTATAGCTTTCATTCTTCTTCCCAGAATTATCTCATTTTGATCGGGAAACTTTTGCATAAAAAGCACACCCCGAGACTCCCATTTCCATACCATAAATATTAAACGAGGGTTAAGCTTTACAGTTTCTTCTCCATCTCAATGAGAGGAAAGTTAGCCGTCTAATCAGAGGCCATTAATAATGTTCCTTTTATTCATAGGTAAACTTAAAAGTAGCTTTGCAATATGAGATTATTCTATGTGGTTCCTTTCCTATACATAAATTGTGGAATGCTTGACTGTGCCAAGTCTTCCTTATTCAGGCTGTTCTAAAGATCTGCCAGTTATCTGAGTTGTTAAGAATAGTTGGCTGGCTTAGTTCTTCAGGAGCAAACCAATTTCAGACCTTTTCTAAATGACCGTGATAAAAGAGATTTTTCCTGGATAATTATGAAGTGTGGATTCATTATACTGTGGATTCATCACAGTGAATCTGTAGCATACAGAAGAGAGAAATGGAAATTGAAAACTTAATGTCTTCTTAGTAGCTTTTTTAGCTTCTTAGTAGCATTCCATCTCCTGTTTGTTGTCATTTTTGTTAGCATAAAGCAGTAGTCATAAATTCTGCTTCACATAGAATGTGTGAGCTATTTCACTTCCTTGGCTGCCTGCTAATCACACAGTCTCGTCTGTTGTACTTTGTGATGGGAAATGAACGTGCTAATTGGTACTCTTTTTTCTTATTTCAGGAAACCTGCCGTATGAATATAAAATAGTGATTGCTGGGAATCATGAACTGACGTTTGATAAGGAATTCATGGCAGACCTTGTTAAACAGGACTACTACCGTTTTCCCTCTGTGTCCAAATTGAAACCAGAGGACTTTGACAATGTTCAGTCCCTCCTGACAAACAGTATTTACTTACAAGATTCGGAGGTAACAGTGAAGGGATTCAGGATATATGGTGCACCTTGGTAAGTGTTGATTCAAACATTCCCCTCTGCTTTTTTTCAGCTTAGTGGTAAGAAAGTCACCTTAAATGAAAATGATTAGGGTAGAAAGAAACCTTATTACTGCATTTTCCAATAACCTATATATTCTGACTCTGCTGCAAACCATAGAGTCTGTAGTTTTCATCATAATAAAGCTTCCATTAGGCAAGATCGGTGCAAGGAGGGGTTTGCCAAGCATGTGTATGTTTATGTGACAAGGGCTATATATATATATCTGTGTGACACAGACCCACTGCCATCAAGTCAATTCCAACTCATAGTGACCCCCATTGGGTTTCCAAGGCTGTAAATCTTTAGGGAAGTAGATTGACTCATGTTCCTCCCTTGGAGCAGCTGATGGTTTGAACCACCAGCCTTCTGGTTAGCAGCCAAATGCCTTACCTGCTTTGCCACCAGACTCCTTTGTGTGACATAGAAGGTGAGGGGAAAGTGACCCTGCTAACCCTTCACACGCCTTCAGCCTTAGATAAGCTCATTTCCCTCCTTTGACACTGGAAGCAGTCCTAAAATAGCTCACTTAGATCAGGGTACACATTACGATCCAGAGTCTCCCTAGCCATCTTGTAGAAATCCAGATTTCAAAGCCCTGTCTCCAGAGTCTCTGACTCGCCTTTCTGAGATACAGCCCAGCAATCTGTATTTTTTAAGGTTCCCCAGATGAGGCTGGTGCATGGGTACTTTGGAAGTTACTGATTAAGAGCCCAGGATTGGAATTCTAAGAACTCAGCTCTGGAAAACTCGAGTCGGGAGCATATCTTTTGGGCCCAGATAGGAAACATTTTGATCTTGGCTCTATCATTTGTCAGTTGTCTAGTTTTGAAGGAGCCTAAACCTAAGTTTCTGCATCTCTAAGGGGGAAAATATTTCTACATTAGAAGGTTATGATGCAGATTAAATGAGGTGGAGTTGGCAAAGGATTTGAGAGTACCTGGTAGGTTGCTTAGGATGATCACTATCACATTTCTGGCCTTCGGTCTGCCACTAAGTATTTTTATGAACTTGGGCAAGTCACTTAGCCTCTAGCCCGGGTTTCTTTATGGTTAATATGGGCATGTTTGGCCAGAAGATCCTCAGTATCAGAGGATTCTAGGGCTATAGTTTCCTTTTTCTTGAGGCTCTGTGTGAATAGAGCTAAAGAACTATCTTTTACTCACTCACTCTGGAAAAGAAGCCCAGTCCTGCCCCAGGAGCAGTGGACAGAATTTGAGAAAGACAGAGTGAATTCAGCTTGGCCTCCTCACTTAGCAATTTGGTTTGTCCTGTTTCTTATTCTAGGGAGTTAAGATATTCTCTGTAATTTTTTCTCTCCTCACCAGTTGGTACCCAGAATAAGTGGTGAGTAGGTACAAGGAGCATGTTTCTGTTTAAAATCAACCTGACAACAACTGTGAACCCTTAATTGGGTACTTGCTCTATGCCAGGCACTGTTCTATGTCCAAGGAGTTCTGTTGGTGCAATGGTTAAGGCATTTGGTTGCTAACCAAAAGTTGGCAGTTTGAACCCACTAACTTCTTTGTGGAAGAAGGATGAGACAATCTGCTTCCATTAAGATGTACAGCCTTGGGAACCCTATAGGGCAGTTCTACTCTGTCCTGTAGGATCACAGTGAGTCAGAATTGACTCATTGGCAGTGGGTGGGTTCTAAGTCATTTGTATCTATTAGCTCTTTTATCCTCCACATACCTTTAGGAGATAGGAATTATTCTGATTTCCAATTGACAGATGAGGAAACTTGGGCACAAAGAAGTTAAGCAACTGCCCAAAAATTGCACAGGTAGCAGGGTGAGCACCATCATTTGAGCCTAGGGAGTCTGACTCCAGAGTGCATGGTATGACCGAGGGGTGGTGGTGGTCATGTGGTCACTGGTAGTTGTTAACTTCTACTCCAGTTTAACGAATGTGTATCAATTTAATTTTTATATATGGAAGGTGGTAAAGGGCAAGAGAATGAACAGAAAAAATTAGTCCTAGCAAACTGTTACCTGAATACCATATGGTAACGTAGAATGTTGATATTAGCATTTCTGGGTAAAGACCAGAGGAGAGAACATTTGCAACTTCACAGCAACACTCTTCATGAAGAGGCAGTAATTGAGCAATGGCCTCTGATTGGCGGAGAAGCTCTGTATCTGAGTGAAGATCATTTTTTTTCAAAGAACATAAGATGATTTTTGAAGAATCTTCTGAGGGCACCGAATATTCATGGCTATTCCTGAACATGCAGGACTTTCAGAGATTCCTGGACTGATAGTTGCTGAAATGATGGCAATAGATAAACTTCCTCCTTTATCTGAGTAGATTTAAATCTGTTGAAGGTTGGAGAACCAGATTACAGCTGTGATGAAAGGGGGCTGGATGGTGTTTTTGGATCCTGAGGCTGACCTTGCAGTGTCTCAGGAAGATATGTGATGTGATAGGCATGATCCATTCATGTTTTTGGTGCAAACTATAGACATAGTTTATATCTGAACTTTATTGGGTCATTCAGTAATTTTTTATTTTGATATTGGAAAGATAGTAAAGTCAAGAAAATAGGCAGCATAATTAGTCTTTTCAAATGTTACCCTGAAGTCGTTTCACATATGTAGTTTGGACCTCACTGTGACTGTTTTGTTCAAATTAATATTCCTGAGAACACTGATTTAAGAATGTCTACATTAGCATTCCTGTGCAGGGAGGATGGTATTTCCAAGCTTTACCATTTATGCAGCTCTGAATTTGAATGAATTTCTTAACCTCTCCCTGCCTTTATTTTCTTATCTATAAGATGGGGAATGCAATACTAATTCCCTACAGGGCCGTTATGAGGGTTAAATGCATTAATGTATCAATAGCATGTACATGTGTTCCTAGCAGACAGCAAGCATTTGAAAAGTGTTACCTATTATTAATTCTTAGTAGTTCAGTGCTGGTGTTACCCACCTAGTTTATACTTCTGTTAACCTTCTAGATGAGAGGAACTTCTGTTCCTACCTCTGCTAATTGGAGGACACTATGCAAGTCACTTAAATTCTACCGCACTCTCTTCTGTAAAACAGGATGTTGAGGTCTCCCCTTTATATGTCACCCATTCACATACATAAATAAGTTCAAATCTTTAAAGGGCATACATATTTGTGAGCATGCTTGATTTTTTAATGTCCTGCAAAAATGTCTAACCTTGTTCACTATTAGGAAATTGTTTAGAAACAAAACTTGAGGGAACTGATGCCATGGCTACCATTTCCCCCCCTTCAAAGTTAGGGTCTTTTCCATCCCTGAAATTCACCCTTGTGGGACTGCCTACTTATTAACCTAGTAGATATTCCAACACCAAAATAATGTATACTAAGCTTTATTTTCATGTTTTTCTAATGACTTTTCTGGGAGAAATACTAAGTTCTGATTTGCTGATATTGTTAGTGGTTTTAATTTAGAAACAGAGATCAGAATAAGAGCTCTAACACTAAAGATTTCCATCCTATCAATGGTTTCTCAAAGTTAATTGCCAGCATACCAGGAAAAGAGCTAAAACTCATGTATTTAAAAAATAGGACTTGTAACTTGGTTTAATGACAGAAAAGGAGTTTTGGTTCATGTTCGTTGAGTGTTTATAACTTGTAGTAGTGCTGAAAGCTTTCTCAAGACCAGAAAGAATTAAAGTTGTGTCTCCTAATCTACAATTTAGCAGCAATTTGTATGTTGAAAATAATTTACAAGCCATCAGAGCATTCATGTGTATTTGTGATTTAAGTGTGTGAGAATACTTATTAGGTCCCTGAGGAAGATGATTTGATTGTTGTTTGATGGATCTAGGAAAATTAAATGGCATAAACTGGAAACATTGCATGTAGGATGTCATATCCTGGAAAGAGTAGGACTCTCTTGGCAGGAAGATAAGAGTTGCATTCCCAAAGCTACCCCTGCCAGTCAGCCTCCACCACTACCAGTTGCCCTGAGGTTGATTCCAATTCATTTGCACCATGGTAGAACTCTCCTCCACAGGGTCTTCAGTGGCTGATTTTTTCAGAAATTGCTGTCCCAGCCTTTCTTCCAAAGTACCTCTGGGTGAACTTGAGCCACCAACCTTTCAGTTAGTAGCTGCGTGCATAACCGTTTGCACCATCCAAGGCCTCTAGCCCTGTCTCAGGAGGCCTTCAAGCAGATGTTATGGTTTCTGTCCATATTCCTTTACCCACTTGTTCTCCCAAGAGTTGTGAAGAAAGGAATCAAGTTTCTTCATTGGGAGTCACAGTTCAGTCCAATAGTAGCTTTGTACAACTTCTCCTCTTGTCATCATTTCTCTCTCTCTCTCTCTCTTTGGGTCCAGAAGATGAGGTTATTGTAATTGTCAGGTAGCTAAAGTTAGCCTTGGACTTTGCTCTTACAGACGGGAAAGCTCATGGATTTCTTATATCCCTATCATTGGTTCTCTTGCACCATCTCTTCCATTGAGATGGGTCCTGTTTTCCTTTTTTGACCCACTCTTAACTCTATAATGTCTCTTCCAAAGGCTGAGTACAGTCAGAGGAGACAAAATTCTGTCAGACACTAATCACTCTGGCTTGTTGGGCCTGGGTAGAGGGAAGCTGGGATTTGGTATTTAGAAATCATCTTTGTATTTCTGATTACCTACAACTGGACCTATAGCCAGCATCTTAATGCCGGCAGTTTTTAGAAAAACGTACTTATAGGACTAGGTGTTTAAAAATCCACTAACCTTTTTTTTTTTCTTCTGATTTCAGTTGCTCTTTTGATACTAAGATACTGTGTACAAAAGAAATCTGAGTACTAATTGATCAGCAGCCAAGCTGCAAGAAGTAAAAAGTCCATACACACTGCCCTGACTGGAGCAGAGCAGTTGTATTGTTCAGCCATAGCCGGTACCTTGTTCTCCTGAACAGAAATACAAAGCTGGCCTCCCATGGCTTTTAATGAATATGAGTGGGACTTTCCTAGGTCCAGGAATTTGATCTCTAGGC